TCAAAAAAAAAAGTGGGTATTTATAAAAGTCAAATATAAAAAATGATAATTGTTTTAAGCAGTATAAACTTAATTTACTTATTAACATATATAATCTATTGCAAATTTTATACTGAATTTATGTGAAGTTTACAAATATTGTAACCCCCCCCAAAAAAAAGAGAAGAGACTTAATTTTATAACAAAAAAAAAATAGGTTTTTTTGCCGTTTTTATTTCTTCTTTTCAGTTTCTCTCCTTATCTTTTTTTTTTTCTTCTTCGTTTTTTATTTCTTTTTTTTGTTAATACTAATTTTTTGATTTTAATTATTTTTTTTCTTTGAAATAATTTACATATATAGCGACAATTTATTTGGATATCTTTAAAAATTTGCTTTATCATATCAGCGTATATAATTTTTACAGCTGAAAATGAACATTTCTATACGGCTACTAATATGCATAAAGGTATATAAAAAAATGTTGAGAAGGAAAAAAAAAAACAGAAAACAGAAATTATTTTGTAATATAAATTAAAGGAAAATTTTCTGTTATTTTTCTTTATCGTCACTGCTGTCAAATTATTTTTTGGTGTTTGTTTGTCGAAAAGAAATGACGCTGTTTTTGTTTTTTTTTTTTTTTGACAGATCAAAATTTTCCAACTTTTGTTTTGATGCTTTTTTTTTTTTTTTTGCTGTGCTTTTTTGCTGCATAACATAACTGAAAAACCGTCAAAGTTTTCTCGAGAAAACTTCTGTGTTTTTTTTTTTGTTTTTCTTTCGCCAATTGGCCGTAAGTTTGGCATTATTTTTTTTTGGCAATATTTTAAAATTATTTGAAAAATTTGTGTATAGAAAGAAATTTTCAGATGTTTTAGTAAGATTTTCAAGTTAAGAAAAAAAAAATTTTTTTTTTTTTGAATTGTTCGTTAACTGCTTTCAGTTTTTTGTTTTTTTTTTTTGCCAGGAATTTATTTTTTATTGGATTTTTTTTTTTGCAAAATTACTGCAGGAGAAAAAATAGTAAACAAAAAAAAAAAGAATTATTGTATTTTTAAAAAAAAAAAAAAAATTGTACTGAAAAGTATTGAACAACAAATCGCATAGTGTACGTTTATCTTTGCTGCTTTTGGTGCAAATCAAAACTAAAACTTAACCAATTTTCATTTCTAAAGTTAAGTTTTATTTTGTAAATTCTTTTCTCTTTTGATATTTTATAGCTTAGGTGATTCAGAATTATTTCAGTGATGTCAGAACACTTGCGGGAGGTGGTGGTGGAAGAGGAGGAGGAGGAGGAGGAGGAGGAAAAAAGATTATAATCAATTGAATATTTTTGGCAACAAAAAATTCTGTTGCTTATTTGACACCTATTAAAAGCGTACTTCAGTTTACACTTTTGGTATAAAAAGACTATTCTTGTCATGCATTAGTTATTTTTCTTTAAACTTCTTGAACATTTTGATTGTGATTGTAAAGATAGTTAATTAGTAAAATTTAAAAAAAAAAAAGAAATTTTTTTTTTTTTAATGAAAAAACTTCTTTGACAATGAAAATTCTTGAAACTTTGCTGATCTGCAGAAAAAAAAAACTTTTTTGTAACTGATAGATCTATCATTGGGTTAATAGTAAGAAAAAGTCTTTGGCTACAGGTTTGTCGTTACAAATACAACAAAAACCGTCTTTACAATGTCATATTGAAGTATACCATAGAAAATTCTTCAAAGATATTCCGCTTGAATTGTATCAAAGTTCTATCGTTTTTGCTGAGTGAAATTAATTTTCAACTGAAGAATCAATTGCCAAGTTTTTGATGCATAAACAACTTTTTTCTTATTCTCATTGTTTTTTCTTTCCAGTTTCAGATTATTAAAACTGTTCAAAGATTGTAAATTCGTTGTCTTAAAATTTATTTTCAACTTATTTCTTTTTTTTTTTTTTTTTTTTTTTTTTTTTTTT